TGTCGTAGGTGTCCTCACCATCTGCGAGAGATTAAGAGAAGAATGATTCAAACTTCAGTGATAGAATAAAGTCGCATGATATAGAAAGAAAGAAAGTGAAATTTTTCTAAACCCTTATAGCCTCTAGAAGATAAGTACAAACATCTCCGTACCGATCCGCAAGACTCTAGCTTTCTGATGACTCCCGAGACCTAGGCAACCTGGGACTCTAATACCAATTTGTCACGATCCGAAATTTCACCCACGAAGTCGCGATGGCGCCTAACATCCGCTTGCTAGGCTAGCCAATATTAGCTAAAGGATTAACCGTTTCAACAATTTTAAAAGCAGAATATTAATAATTAAAGGTTCAAGTACTCTGAAATACATGAAATAATTCCATAAGTAACAGTGTCTATATTAATCCCAAAAATTTGGAGTTACAAGTACATGATCGAGTATAGTACTACAAATATAGTCTGAAATGAAATACAACTGTTCGAAACAAGATAAACAGTAAAACAAGATAAGAAAGGGGACTTCAGGGACTGCGAATGTCGTGCAGCTCTACCTCAAGTCTCTTGGATAAGATCTGATACGAGCAATTTCCTTTATGATATGATAGGACCAGCACCAGGATCTGCACAAGAGGTGCAGAAGTACAGTATGAGTACAACCAACCCCATGTACTCCGTAAGTGCCAAGCCTAACTTCGACGAAGTAGTGATGAGGTTATGACAAAACACTCACTATAAACTTGTATGAATAATAAAAAGAAGACAACATAAGTATAGAGAAAATGAATAAACTCATAATAACGGGACCCGAAGGTCAACTAACAGAGGGACCCAGAATAATATCATCATAACCTCACATTACAGTACAGAAATAGAACACCACAGTTACAAATAGTTACAACATATCATACCTCGTTGCGGCGTGCAACCTGATCTCAAATATCAATTCACTATCATTAACAACTCAACACAACAAATTCTAAAATCCCAACACAAAATGTACAAAAGCGTATAAAACACCATGGAAATACGAGTACAAAAGAACAACCAACATCTCATATTCACGAACCTCGACAAATCATTAACGCAAGAATAGCCAAGGGCTCACACAATCGGATATAACATAATAAAGTGCAACAAGTAAGGTAAATGCGATAAAGGCAAGTAAAGACATGAAACAATGAAGATGTTCAATTAATAATGTGGGAGCATATAGCAGGTAAGCAGATATTTATCGAGGAATGGATATGCAGAAACAGGTCACATATAAATGACTAATAACAAACAAGGCATAAATAACAGGTAATAACATGTATTAATCAAAGCATGGAACGAGATAATACATGAATAAATGATGAGATAAAGATAAAAAGCCCACCCTGCATGCTTTAACCCATGACAACACATATACACTCCTCACCTTATATATATGACGTCCCCACACATAATTCACATAGCAAATATACTAAACAAGTACTAATTCCCTCAACTCAAAGTTAAACACGACACTTACCTCCTTCGGAATCAAATCAACAATCAACCACAATTTTTCCCATAGAGCAAGCCTCCAAACCAACCAAATCTAGCCAAATATCATTCAAACAATAAAAAATAAGCTTTAAAAACTACGACGAATAAAAAAAAGTTCAATCTTTAGCTAAATTGAAAAAGTCAACAAAAATCAACCCCGCGCCGACTTGGTCGAAATCCGAGATTTGTACCAAATTCAGGTTCCATTCATCCCCAGGCCCGAATGCGTGATTTATTTCGAAATCCGACCTCAATTCGAGGTCTAAATCTCAATTTTATAAAATTTCTAAATTCTACCCAAAATTCCTAATTTCTACTTTGAAATTCATAGATTTGATGTTAAAATGCATGGAAAACTAGTTGAAATTGAATGAAAACTAGTTAAAGTTATCTACCAATGAATTTGAAAAGAAAATCTTCTTCAAAAATCGCCTCTAGAGAGTTTAGGGTTGAAAATGGTGTATAATAAGCTAAGTCTCGAAATTCTCCACTTTTACCCAGCTGCATATATCGCAACTACGAACTTGTTTGCAATGGCTGAGAATAATTATCTGCAAATGTGAACAGTGTCAGAGTTGCACAGAAGTCGCAAATGTGACATATACCTCGCATTTGCGAAGTCCCCAACCATCGCAACACCGCATTTGCGAAGTCCCCAACCATCGCAACACCGCATTTGCAAAGCTGTCCAAAATATTCCAGTCATCACAAAAGCGACAAAATGGTCACAAATGCGGACCATACCCCCATTGCAAATGCGATGAATTCTTCGCAAAAGCAAAGACCAGCTCCTACGTCGCATTTGCAAGCCTGAGATCGCAAATGCACAGGCTTGCAAATGCGAGGCTCGCAATTGCGATCAGGTCTTCGCAAAGGCGAGACCTGCAACTCACACCAACAACAGATGTGCACCAGTAGTTCCAAAATCAACTAAAATACGAAACTCAACCGAGCCCCTCAGGCTCCAATCCGAACATGCACACAAGTGTAATAACATCCTATAAACTCGCTCGCTCACCCAAATCATCAAAACGACATCAAATGTCAAGAATCGATCATAACAACTCAAGGATTTCAAGTTTTAAACCAAATTTTTCAATCTTTCACATAATGCGCCGAAATGCCCTCGGGTCACTCGGGACCCCAACCAAATATGCATACAAGTCCAAAAATAACATACGAACCTCTCGAAATTGTCAAAATATTGATCCCAGGTCGTTTACCAAATACATTGACCGTAATCAACTCAAACCTCATTTTAAGTCAAAACTACATTTTCTTTGAATTTTCACACATACGCATACAAGTCATAAATCATCAAACTAAACTACCAGAGGTCTCGGAACATGGAGAATACGTTCTGACCCCTAACAAATGCTATTTAGAATACGTTCAAAAGTATCTCTGTTTTTCTTTATAATGTCTAGAGTATGCCAACTATTCTATATTCTTCTAGTAACCGAAGTTCAAGTTGGTGTAATTCCCTCGTACAGAAATAATATTCCGTATACAAAACGTAAGGGCGGAGGCAGAGTGTTGCAAGAGGGTTCAATTGAACCCTTCGTCAAGTATATGATCGAGGTGGTTGATCGGTGTGCATAATAGGTATTGATGCCGGATTGTTGATGGATGAAGACGCAACAATTAATACTAATTAACAGCACTAATGATTTGGCTTCTTTATAAGCTGACGATAGAAGCAGAGTCCACCACAGCACGCATAATTGAGTATGGCACTGATAAAACACATGAACACAAACAAATGGAACAATCAATCATAATCTTCAAAGTCACAACCAACTAGGGGCGGCCTATCCCTAAAGCACCTTATTTTTTGTTACACCTAATAGGCTCTACGTAGATTTAAAAAAAAGTTCTGTGTGTGAAAATATTTGATTTTCTTCTTTAACAAATATATAAAGAAAAGATTTGTAATTGCTGTGATTTCTCCCAAGGAGATTGCATTTGAAATGAATTTCGAATTCGAATTCGAATTTCGGAAGAACAATTTGATGAGAATGTTAATAATGAAATCTCAAAATCTCTCGAAGTGTCCTTTAGAGTTGATTACTTTCTATTCATAGTAAATAAGGTTATTTTTTCATTTCAAAATAGATTTGAATAATACAAAGCATATGAAAATATCTTTGGTTTTCTCTTAGCGTAAAAGCCTGAGATCACTAGATGATAAAAAATTTGAAAAAAATACATATATTGTCTTAATCTTGAATGTTCCGTAAAGCATAATAATCAATCCAATATTGATGGTTCAGATTTATTTTATGAATTAAAAGTATTAAAAAAAAATAGTACAATTAGAAGATAACAACTTACTTGATATACTCAATCAAATAAAAAAAATTGATTCTTTTTCAAATGCCTATATTATTTATAGAATAATGTTAATAACTCTTGTTACCATTACTTCAGCGGAAAATAGCTTTTTAAAATTAAAACTGATAAAATCTTACCTTAAGATCAACAATATCTCGAGAGAGGTTAAATGAATTAGCTATATTATCAATTGAGAAAGACTTATTAAGAGAAATGAATTATAAGAAAATTATTAATAACTTTGTATCTAAAAAATAGCTAGAAAAATAGATTTTAAATTAAAAAAAATTATTTTTTTTTTTTAAAAAAATTAAGGTCCCTCATAAAGTTTGGCTTTAGGCCACAAAATTCGTCGTTCTGCCCCTGCAAGCAACTGTGGAATATTAAATGTACAATTCTATGATTTCGAGGAGTAAATTCCATTTTCACCTAGTCAAAAGTAAATCAACTTACACCTTTGGTATCAGAATACTCATGGAGAAAATTCTCATAAAGCTGTTGAAAAGACCTAACTCTATATGAAGACGGATATGCGCTACTGTGTATATTCGTGTAAAAATACAAAATCGAAACTGGTAAATAGGGGCAGATGTAGCTACTAGCTAGTATTAATGGTATATGGGTTTATGAGTAGCTTTTACTCAAATTATGTATATGTGTTAAGAAGTCCATCAAATGAGTACAAACTAATGGACCGGAATAGAAGCCCCGGCTGAAACCATAAAGTTCAAATCTTTAATCTACCTTTGCATATGAGCAATGACTTTAACACCTGAATTTTGCTTGACCTAACATGTAATTTAATGTGATTTTGGTTATGAAAATGACACATGCATCGCTTATTTATTTGGAGATATTTTGCTATCTTTGCTTTGCATGGCCCCCAAGTCCCAAGCACTAGCTACCCAAATGGTAGCTTTATCAACCACCACCTAAGGAATTAGTTTGGACTTTTGCATATCAGCATGGCCTGCTCTAATAGTTCTGGCCCTATCCCAATTTGGCTTTGAAGAAGCTCAATGGAACAGGGCCTAACACTATTGTAGAATTCAAGTAATAACAGGAAAAAGGAATGCCTAAATTTTATCAAGTGACAAAAACTTGGGGCATTTCAGAACAAAAGATTGTACTATAGTAGACTTGAATTAAAAGATAGAGTAATATTCTATTAACCATATTCCAATTCAGAAAGAACAAGAAATATCCATAAGCCATAACTCCTCTCTCCTTTAGAGTTTAGAGTAACTACTTATAGAACTCCCCACCACTTCCAACAAAAAAGAAAAAAACAAGAAAAGGAAATACTAGATAACTTTCAGTTAAAACCAGAAGGTGAAAGCATAAGATGAAAAAAGAAAAGTAGAAAAGTTCCCAACTTGGCAGTCTTTTTACTTTTTGGTCTATACGCTATAATCAAGGGGCACCCCTTTTAACTTATATTCCATCATATCATTGCTTGATTGTGTCTTCCATGTCCATATATGAATCTTGCATTCCCTTCTGCATAAACATGAGTCTCATTTTCCAGTCTGTCATTAATTAAAGATTCTTCTTAGCAACAAATCATCAAAAAAAGTTACTATAAACAAAGTAATTTATGTTGTATACACTTACTATGAACTGATAATGTAAAGAAATTTTATTATACATGCAATTTAATTGGTTAGAACAACTTATTATTCTCAATTTTCAAGTTACGATATATACTGAGAATCATGTGTAATTGTGGAAAAACAACATGATAGTGTAAAAGTGCACAAAACATAAACTTTTTATTTGATTGATTTTAATTAAGTTGTGCAGGCATAACAATTAAACCAATGAGAAAATGGACATGTTTCTTACGAGTTTCGAACAGCTTTGCTCAATGTAGAGGCTGAAGTGAATGTTTTCCCATCAAGATATCTGTTCTCCCCTTTCATCCTCTGCTTCATTCTCAGGTCTAGTTCATCCACACTTATAACAAATGGAGTATCTGATGCCTATGTCATTTTACAGAATTTGATTAGCCCTAAACAAATTATGATGAAAATTAGGTTTGAATTTTTGAGATAATTAATGTTAAAAAGTAATGATTACCATGACCCATCCCCAAGTGTCAGCATACGATGGAATATGAGCTGAATAAGGCACAACATCTGTAAAACAAAATAATTAAAGGTTATCCTTTGAGATATCATGTTTTCAAGAATGTAATTAGCAGAAAGCTAAATTATCTTTTTCAGTCAAGAAACTTACATTTGAAAACTTGTTTTAGAGTATTGAAAATGCAGGAAAAGACTTCTGTATGGCTGAAAATTCCTGCTGGTCCTGCCTGTTTAATGTTCACAATTGACAACCAATTAGTATTAGTAGTTACTACTACAAGGTTTTGGAATTATATATATATATATATATATATATATACACTTGGAAAAATTACTTTTGACAAAATATAAGACAGAATCATCATTTACCTGAGTGACGAAGATACCGCCTTGATTAAGTTTAGGTTTAACAATGAATTCATAGAAGGATTTTGTATAAAGCTGGTAACATGGTCCTCCTTCTATAGGGTCTGCTAAATCTCCTACTATAATATCATAATGCTCTTCCCTCCTCTCTAGCTCAGCCCTGCAAAATCACACCATTTTCGTTAATCAAGATTCATTAATTATCAAAAAAAAAAAAAAAAAAATAGGGGCAAAATTAATTAGTTTATAAAATTAGGGTGCAGAGAGAAACAGGGGAAAGAACCTGGCGTCATTGATAATAAGGTCGAGTCTAGGATCAGAGAAAGCTTCTCTGTTAACCTCCAAGTATGACTTGCAAAATTCCACCACCTCCTGCAGCAAATTTAGATGTAGGTTTTGTTTTTGAATTTAAGTTTTTCACTAATAGGGTAAAATATATATTTACATGATCAATGACCGATTCCAATATATAGTTTATCCATAATCTTTTTCTATCTATGTATCAACTTATATTTCGTGAAAACATGCAAAAGTTGTCTATAATTGATCTTAACTGATCAAATTGTGCTAACTTTTCCACAACTAATTAGGTATAGGGCTGAAAAAATGGAGGAAGAGACTTACTTCATCAATGTCACACATTACAACTTTGTCGACTGTCTTGTGCCTCAACAATTCTCTGGCAGTAGAACCTTCACCTCCTCCCATAATGAATATGCTTCTAGGACTGACAAGTGCATATTAATTAGTATGCAAGTTAATTATAATGAGTATTTCTGCCATTAATTAAAATGAACAATAATCATAATTAGTGGGAATAAACAAAAGTTATATATACTTTGAATGATGAAGGAGAGCTGGATGGACAAGACATTCATGGTAGATAAATTCATCTATCTCTGCACTTTGAAGCTTCCCGTCTATGACCAAAGCCTGTTTTATTATTAGCCAACAAATTATATATGTTAATACTCTCAAAAAAAAATGACATAATTAAGTTATCAAATATAAAGGAGTAACAAAGGGTTTTCTTTTCTTTTCACCCTTTTTCTGTTACCGATAATTTTGTTGCAATCTTTTTCGGTAAAGGGAATACAGTACTAACCTTCCCAAAGGGCTTTGTGTCCAAGAGTTGAATGTCTTGATATTGGGTGGCACCAGTATGCAAAATGCTGCGCAAAAGAAAACATTTCAATTTTTTTACTTTTAATTTCGGATTCCAGTAATTAAGTACGTATGTTTGCTTTTTTCTTTTTCTTTTTCTTTTTCCCTTGCATTACGACCTTTTTTCTGTGATAAGACCTTTTTTTCTGTGACAAGACTTAAGAAAGCAGTATATACATTCGAAGAACCAACTCAATATATCCTAGGATATTGAATAAGCATTCCAATAAAAAAACTTAATTACTATATATATCCTAGGACATTGAATTAACAACTCGATGACCAAAAAGTAAAATCCTTGTCAGAGATGAAGCCTCGTAATGACCCCATTCACGAATCTTCCACAAAAGAGAGAGCTTTTTGGGAAAAAAGGAAGAATAATTTGAATATATTCCGCCAATATCCACGAATTCATAAATTATCAAGAGGTATTTTTTTAAAAAAGCAAAAGAAAAAGACTTATTGTGTGACAAACTTAGAGCATTGGATCAGTTGAAATCTTAAGAAAAAAAAATAGTACAGTACGTAGTAGCTTATATACAATCACGTAACTCAATATACTATTGTTATTCATAACGATAATAAGATCGATCTCGAAATATTAAACTATTCCTACTAGCTTAGTAGCATGCATTCATCTGAAATAAGCAGTAAAAGGCATGTTAAACTATTCCTCTAGCGCTATATATTATAATTCCACGTTAAGTTTTGTACACTGAAATTGTGTATATCTAAAATCTCTGCTTAAAATTGTTATGAGTGGGAAAAAGAAGTTACCTATTGAGAGCAAAGCACCATCTCAAGTCAGTATCAATCTCTTCTTCATACCAACAACTCTTTCTAATTGGACCTACAATTACTGCATGTCCATTTCCATTATTCAATCCATTCCCATTAGCAGAGCAAGATATTTCACCCATTATATTGTTCAACACTTGATCAAAATTAAGAAATAGAAGAGAGACCTCAAAGAAGGAGACAAGTGAGAAAGGATGGAATAAAAATGGAAGGGTAAGAGGAGAATATAAGGAGCAAAAAGAAAAGGTAAGAGTATGATCATAATCATTTAGGTTTTGGGATAACTATTGAAGTAAGGTGAAAAGTGAAGTGCATAAAATCCTCATGGATGTTTGTGACACAGATTCTTAAAATAAAATCTAATGGAAAATAAAAGAAAATTGTTAGTGAGAATTCTGAGGTTGATTTCCTCGCGTGCGTTCTCTATGTTGCGAAATGGAGTACAGGAAGTGTACATGTATATTTGGAGTAAAATAATACTCCTTCTTTTCCCTTTTATCCAATGTTATGGGGCTCTAGTTCTTGATCTGTCTTAACAGCTAACTAAAGTGAAATTAAAAATTTAAAAAAAAAAAAAAAAAGAGAGAGAGAGAGAGAAGTAAAACTTTATCTTAATAAGCCTAAGTGAGATGTTTCATGTTGCGTATGTAAGTAACATTATTGTTTACCCTAAAAATCCAGTAACAGTTAAATTTGTAATGTGGTTTTAAGGATACGTGATTTCACTTAATACCAATCGATTAACTTAGAGATAAATGATGGAAAATGGGAATTGCCAAGAATGTAAAACAAACCAATGCTTGGACAATGCCCTCGAGTTGATGAACCCTCGAGAGTAGTGAAGTAAGAACAGTTAAAGAGCAGTCAGTTGATGAGCAGAAGAAAGAAATAGTATATTGCCTTGATATTAGTGAATGTAAGGTGTTTACAGATGATGGGGACCCCCTTTATATACTAGAGGAATCTTAATTATAGTACAATTCTAATTACGGAAGCAACTCTCATGATTGGTACAAATAACCGCCCTTGATTTGATTTGTTCCGAGATTTCCGTCGTGATCTTCGGTCGGTTACGGATATCACGCCTTTCCGTTATTGCACTTCACTCACGTCGGTCATACTTAATCCCGATTGCTGCTGGCCTCGGTCTCAGCGGACACTTCAATATTTAGACTCGATGCCTCGTCTCCGAGCTCGGGTCTGATTCATTACGAAGATACCCCCGATGCAACTCTCTTGTCTCGATCAAATAGTAAAATCGGGTATGCCCGATTTTGACGGTATACAATTATATGTCTTGATGGGACTATAGTGCGTCTAATTGGTTGTATGTCTAAACGTAAATATATATTGTTGCGATCGAATTGTAAATATTTATATACTTTGAGTTTTTTGCACAATATATTTTTGAACCATTTTTCGTACGTTATACATCTTATTGGTATTACTTTCATAAGAAGAATACACGAAACAATTGTAAGGACTTAAAATATCAATGGGCAAAACTTGTAGGGAAAAATTCGTGAGGAGACGACACGATGATGCCAAAGCACTAAGACGCATCAAACAATACGACCAGAGAAGGCTATCATATAAATGAAAGCTATATTTTTTTTGGGTAAAAAGAGTAAAAAAGGGATAAAAGAAGATGATTGAACACATAGGGTGTGGTGACAAACACCAAATATTAGGGGTTGCTCTTATTATCTCTCCCTTTAAAAAAATTAAGTGAAACAAACTACTTTCAAAAAACTTGTGCAAAAAATCTTGGCGTGCAGAGAGAAACATCATTCATAGTTATTCTCTCTTTGCTCAAAAGATGATAAATGGCGTGCTAAGCCAGACGCACTCATCATCACCATCACCATCACTCCTTCACCAAAACCTAACAGCAGTTTCCCCCACCCCCAGTTAAACTCCTCTTCGAACAAACAAACAAATAGAGTATATTATATGTACTGGTATTGTAAAAATATTTACGCAATCAATCGCTCCCTTCTAAGATTATTATGTGCATATTTCTATGATAAGTACAGAATAATCGGATAAAATGGAAATTAACCTGTTATGACATGTTAAACTATATCGACGTAAAAATATTACACGACTAATGACTTAGAATTTTAATTTCAAAAAAAGAAAAAAAAAGAGAGAAGAAAGAATACTCCAAATCCATGACTAAATGGAATATTACTATATCTAGTACTAATATATGCATGCGAGAAGGTTTTAGATATGCCATCATGCATTTACATTTACACTAATAATTGAGGCACAGCAGATATTCCGTGTCACCTAAAGACCGAAGTACAACCTAATTCAAGAAAAAGAAAAACAATAAATAAAAAGAAGTTAGTCTCCAATTTTAAAATTCCTATAACCTCGATGCATGCATTGAAGACAAGAGGTTTGAAATTTTTTTAAACATTTTGAGAGTTAATTTTCATTTATCACATGAACACTCCTTAATGGTCTTTATCGTGTTGAAGCTAAAGGATTTATTGCACAGTTGCCTTCTTCAATACTTCTCCTACAAAGAGTCAAGAACTTCGGATCTAGCTAGTTCATGAGCGAACACAAAAAATATTTGTTATTTTTATTCAAAATGATTTTTGTTTCCTATTTGCTGTTCCATCCCTTTGGGCCTCGATTAATTCAAATTCGTATTGCATAAGCCCTAGTAAAGGAAAAATGCTCTCTTCTATTCCCATAGCTCAAAACCATAATACCTATGGCTAAGGATTGATGAATATCTTATCCATCTCACCGTAACTTTTGTGGTATATATAGTTTTATGACTTTTGTGAAACTTCTATTCAAATTAATACAACTAATTTAGCATTTGGCTAACTAACTATTTCATTTTTACATATGTGAAATCATTCTTTTAAATAACTTTATACAAAGTACTGTATAAAATTTTATTCCATCTTTAATACAACAAATAACCAATTCAGATATTCACAACCAATAAGTACTGGAATCTCCTTTGGATAGAATCTAAAAGGAGAAGGAAAGCTAAATTGTGAACATGCGTCTATTATATTGAATTTTCCAATAATACCCAATTGAAAAAGTTCAATGCTAAAGTAACTTTGGGTAAGTTGTCAATCCACGAACTGTGCAATATACATTATCTGCTGAATTACAGGCGGCGTTTTACCAGAGATTACTAATCTATCTTGTGTGATTTTTATTAAAGCATATTCGAAATCGGAGGCGAATCCAAAATTTAATAATTATGGATTTCTACAACAATTTCAAGTTAATGTACAATAATAATGGGGTTCAGCATTAAATATCTATAGATATTTAGTGAATTTTTTAATACATATACAAAGTATATGCAAAAGCTATTGGGTTCCCATAAACCCGAATCTCCCACTCTGGATCCATCACACTCGGGCGGACGATTTCAAAGCGGACCCCATTCATAGACAGAGAAGATTACCAAAATTGTGATGCGCTGTCGAATTTATACACTTTACTAGTCTTAGTGTACGCGCGTTGCGCGTGTACTTTGTATAAATGAGAAAAAACTTTTTAAAATAGCATAATTAATTATTCGAAAGATATATTTGTGTTACATCTCTTTATTTTCACTATCTTGATGCGGTTCTGAAGCCAAAGAATTTGATTGCTTGCGGTCTTAGATAATGAGGATAATGATCGTCGAGTGAACCTCTATAAGAAGTTAAAATAATTCTTTCATGTAAAATGATTTTTTTTTTGGTTTTTTAGTTGGTCACAATAAACTTATTTCTTTTGTCATTAAAAAAGAATATTTCTTTTGTCGATTGGAATTGAGATCATTCTGGCGCAAGCAGACATGTAGCCATGTATTTTGTGATTTGGTTCATAGTATGTTCTAACTTCTAACAAATATTTTTTTTAAAATTTGCATGCAGTAAAAATATAATTTGATTATTCATTGTACGATCATGCATGCTTTGGATATTCTTGGTTCAATGTTTTGGAGAAAATTGGCAAATAAGTGTATTTTTACAATTTTCTAAATTTTTTAGCACGCGCACGAAAAATAAAGCTACATATTAATTGTGAGATTACTTCATATCAATAATATTTTGAATGAGCAACCAGATTGCTTTGTATATTGTTACTTTATGTCTAATTTTTGGAGCATGCTCCTAAAAGAATCATCAATGATATTTAAATAATAGTAATAATAATAATAATAATAATAATAATAATAATAATAATAATAATAATAATAATAATAATTAAACAAGTAAACTTTTGTAGTATTACTTCTAGTTCTAGTTGATGATGGCAAGGTGTTGTGGCGTTAGTCTTTTTTTGGCCTTTTAGCTTCGTGTGGGATTCGTTTGACTTTTTAGCTTTTTGGCAAGGACTTGTTATATTGCCTAACGAAGAGAAAAAATTTAAGTTGAGGAATTTATAATACACCTAAATATTAGGCTAAGTATTGATTGAAGTTGATTTGAAAATCTTAAATATTAGGAAGTTAATTTAAATTACAATTTAACCCCTTGTGAAATATATTTTTAAAGGGTAAAAAAGGTGAACGACATTTCGCTAAGGGTCTTCGTGCTTTTAATATTAATATAGATGGTTAATAACTGTACATGTCAAATTAGATCTAATTTGATTTATTAGGATACGGTGGAAATACTTAGTTAAAGATATATACGTAAAAAGTTGTTTTGAGTAGTCTAATTATTATCAACGAAACATATTGTTTTCACTTGATTAGTTATGTTGAGAGTTCTAATATTTTCGTGAAACATCAATTACTTATCTAACCTCTTTGTCACCGTTTTTTGGAACTTAAGGGACCCTTCAGCATTGATTCAAAAACTTGACGCAATCGTGGCGTCAGCATGATAGCTCCTCTCTCTCTCCCTCCCTCCAATTTTCTATTGGGTTAAAAGGTAGGATTAGAGCTTTAGGGTTGTGACGAAAAATTATTTTCACCTTCTATAATTCTCTGCTATAGCTTTTGCATAAAGAAACTTATAACTGTGTCTTCCAAGTTTCCAATTTAAAATATAAACCGTATCTCATCCATTTAGCTAGTAATAATTAAAGGCGAAATATATAAACGATTCTATTAAGTTGTTCTCAATAATCAGACAAATACCTTAACTAATCCTGTTATCATCTAGATACTTCAAATAGACTACTAAGTGTGTCAAGTAAACACATATTGCTTATCAAGCATATGCGTGTTTGC